ACTTTCATATTGGACTAATTAAAGAATAAGTATAAGCTAACCACAGTGGGGTATTCGATGAATTTAGGCGGTCAAGTTATTTTTTTAACATATTGTTAAAAAAAAGTAACTTTCAATTAGTAGGGACAGGTAGAGAAGTCAAATAATGAGAGAGAAAAAAAATCTATTTTTTTTTAGAAGAAAGTTATTTCTGCCAACGCCCTCCCACCCTCCTAAAGTTACTTTAAAAGGTCAACTAAGTAATTTTTAAGAAAAAAACCACATTGAATAATTTTTTGTTTGTTTTCAGTAAAGTTATTTTTAATTTTTAAATAAAAGATTTTCTTTTATTGTTTTTTTTTTAATTCTAATAATCATCAATTTCTACATCTATATTAAAGTTTTTATTAAATCGATCAATATCGTTGTCATCATCTGATGTGTCATCACCGTTTTTTATCATTGCTTGTATTAAAGTCTACTTCTTCTAGTACTAAAAGGTCTGTAACTTCTTTTGGAAGAATATAAGTTTTGTTTTTAGATCTTGTACTTAAAGATAATGTACTTATAATTGGATCTCTTGAGTTCATTGCACGTGTAAATACATCAAATAAATTATTTTCTCTTGAGCACTTGCGAGCATGTTGTAGCCGATCTTTTTTAGTGATTTTGTTGCGATACTTTAGTGCTTCTTCGCCCAAAGCCCCTACGGTAACAGGAGAATTTAAAATAATTTAAAACCTTATTATGCTTTGTAAAAAGCATCAGTGATTAAAGCCTGGGAACAAAAATATTCCTAAAAGACCCCGTGTTTACCCCAAGCGCGAGGGCAATAAGACATACTACATTATACAAAATATAATTTCTAAAAATCGTTTTGCGTTCGAATGTTTTGACCATTTAAAACTTACAACCCCCTCAATGCATTGAGGGGTTATAAATTTTAAATGGTCAAAACTATCGAAAGCTTAAAGATTATTAGATAAAATTTAAAACTTGTCAATGATTTCAAGTTTAGTGTAAGATTGTCAACTTATATATTTTAATAACTTAATGCCCTGGCCTTTGAGCCAGGGTCGGTAAATTTTTTTATGTATTTTGTCCGCAGGCTCTAATTAAAGTATTTTTTTTTTAAATATTATATTTTGAAATAAGCATGAACTTAGTTTAAAAAGTTTATAAACTGCCCTAAAAAATCTAATCTGAAACATTAAAAAAATTGAATCTGCTACTGATAACAGTAGTAGAAAAATGGCATTTTACAAGAACCTTGCATCACTAAATATCAATTATTTCAAAAAAGGGCAAAAAAGGGCGGCTAAATTTTTCACAAATATTTTTCAGAGCATGTATAGCATTATTAAATGATGAGACCACATTGTAAAGAATTGTAATTTAGTTTTCCTGCTCCACCAAAGGTGAAAAATTCGATTTTTTTGTGGTATTTTTTTATATGTTGGCCTTATTTGCACAACTGCATCCGAATTTTTCTTAAAATACTTCAACGATCAAAAGCTAATCTCAAGGACCTTTCCATCGATGTTTTTCCAGACATATATCATCGATCGATGATATATGTCTGGAAAAATTTTAAAGTATTTCCATATAAATTGGACGAAACATCACCCATAAAAGTTCTCTTGAAGCACACTTTTCTCCAAATAGTTTGACTTTGAACATAAATATTTCATAGGTAATATTTTAATTTTTTTTTTTACTTTTTAACATATTCATAGTAATTGCTTTAGCTTTTCAATTTACCACTTGAAAATCCAAAAAAATTAATTAATTTTTTTAATTTTGGCTACCCTTCATCCCACTGTGCGCTGTACTCTATCTAACTAGAAAAAAATATTTAATTTATAGATATTTATGAGGAAAAATCCAACATTATAAAAATCCAGGGATGCATGTTTAGACCTAGAGTGATGAAAACCCTGTTAAAAATATTGATAATAAGAGGACCAAGGGGCCCTGGCCCTTCACTTGCCAATTTTTAAATATAAAATATAAGTATAGCATAAAACATGCAAATTTTTGTTTATATCCCATCCCCCATCCCCCCCATCTTCACAAATAATACGGAATACTATAACAACGCTTACTCAATTTTAACTTAAACAACTCTCACACAACTCTAACTTAATCACTGAATAATACTCCTCTCATAAAATGAGCCGCCCCTCCCCCGTTCAGTCTTGAAAAATGCCCTCTTAGATTTTTAAAATGGTTAATTTTTCATTTATTAATAAATATCTATATGATGGCGTTATTTTTAAGTCAGTTAAATTGCAACCAGAAGGTCGATTTATGATACAGTGTTTTCGCTCGATAACTTTCCGTCCCTACCTAAGACCTCCTCATTATTGAAAAGATTGGAGCTGAAATATATTATAAATTATCGGGGGGTATGTATAAGGTTGTTTCAAATCATGACACACTACTTTTTCTACAAGCAATTTCCCATTTTGTTTAACTTTCAGTACAATTTAAGTTGATACTCTGCGAAATGTTTGATACTAAAACGGTATTAAATATAAAATATAGACTGGGGTAAAACGTAATCTTCCAATAAAAACGATATTAATTATGAATTATAAGGAGTGGCGCTAATAACAAATTGTACACTCAGTTTAGACTATTACAGATCTCTTAAGACTATTAAAGCCTTATGGTTCCATATAAGTGGTGGAACTTTAATAACTTCCACTGGGAAAGAATAGGCAAAAAAAAATAAAAATAGTCCGTGGTTATTGTATCGTTACCTGATACCGAAGTTAAATGGCTATTATTCCAACATACACGCAAAGTACTTGAACGCAGGGTTTTTAATGCACCAACTGACTTATTGGCTAAATCATATACGAATTGCAATGATTTAACTACATAAGTAATTTTTTACAACAAATTAATTAGGGATAAGGCAGCGGATTTGCATGTATTGACTAAATAGACGCAGCGTAGAGCATGTACATAAACTTATGGCTTTGGTTTATGTCTGTCTGTCCCCAAACCTTTGATAGCAAAATTCTAACTTTGTAAAATCATTTTGAGTGGGATATGATTTAAAAATGTGTGATAATCTAAATTGGTAACTTTGTACATGTATTGACACATTTGGTGAGCTATAGACTAGGCCGTATTAAGGTTCTTGAGGGCCGAATGCTGAAAAATATTTACGGCCCCATTCCTAAAAAAATGAATGAAGAAAAAGCATATATATGCAATATGTATAAAATTTATATAGAAATTAATATACACTTTGAAATTGGGGGCCCTGCTAGTCCACCAATTTTTATAGGCCGGCCGCCTCTTAGGAGCGCTAGTTATTCAGACATTGCCTATAGACAAAAACTCTTTCGTTCAATTTCTTTGTCAATTTTTTTACCAGTTTCTGCAAACCTGTAATAAACTTAGTTGTCCTCTGGATTTTTTCTACCCTATTGCGACATCTCTTTGTATTAGTAACCTATGTACTGACTAAAGTATATACAAAATTTTAAAAACTTATTACAAAAAAAAAAGACAACGTTAAGTGTTGGACCTCGAGTCTTTAGCATGCGAGGAATTACTTTATCTTCTCGGCCACGAACAGTTTTTGAACTATAAGTAAATTAAATTTATATACACCGTAGAATCTATTTGACTTATTTATTTTTACTAAGTAAAAGTAAAAAAAATAGACTTTTAAAAGACTATTACTAAGTCGGACAAATTTTAAGTTCCCCTTGAACTTTCTATACCTACCGAGAGTCAGATGTCAGACTATAATATCCCCAACTTAACGGGATTCTACTGTACTTATTTTCTAGCGTATATGTAAACTGATAAAATATATAAGAAATTTTAATTATTTATTCATTTTATTCATATAATTACTTAATTCATTAATATAATGTATGTAATAAATCATCGAGTCGGTCTGCAAATATTTTACAAGTAAAAGTAAACTGGTATAGTAAAGTGTATAATAACTTATTATAAACCAAGTATACGGTAAACTTACTTTACCGTATACTGTAACCAGCGATCCCATATGCGGGACAAAAAATAATTAAAAATTGCATTACTTTAAGCAGATGTAATTACACATCTGATTTTTTCCGGATGTAACAACATCCGTGAAAAAAGTAATTTAAAAATACATTATATTAACCAGATACATCTTTCTAAAGATGTTATTATACATCAATGAAATTTCAGATGTTGTTGCACAGATGTTAATTCAGTAAAGAAAAAAAGCGGATGATCTTACACAAAAATGTGCGGATGTTATTTCACTACTACACGGATGTTGTTGGACAGATATAGTAATCTTTTCCCGTTGTAAACAAGTCACATTTAAAAAAGGTATGGCTGTATAAACTAGACCAATGGAAGACCAGAATTTGCAATTCTTCAGGATAATATAATTTTTTTATTAAACTTTAGAAATTTTAATGAGAATTCTTTTCTTATATCGTAATTGTCAATACAAAGCTTTTGAATTTCGTCTTGCTTAAGATGACGATGAAAAAAAAAATTGTTTATAAGTGAAAGCACTCCGTTTTGATCGATCGCATGTACACTCCACTGCGCGTGTGGAATAAAATATTTAAAAAAAAATATTGTTGTACAAAATTTAACATTAAATTGTACGAATTACGATAAAAATGTTTCCATATTAAAATTATTGTTACTTTAGGTTTATTACTAAAGGACGGATAAAAAAGTTACTTCAAGTTTAGGAACATTAATGCTTTTTTCGGGGTCTATTCTTTTTTAGTAGATTCTTTTTCATTTTAAAACAGCTTTTCATTAACTTTTTAAATTATTGATTTGAAATTTCATAGTATATATTCGTTTAGATAAAAAAGAATCATATTTTTTGTTAAGTTAAATATTTTTATTTATATTTTATATTCTTTGAAAGTATTTACACCTATCAAAATTATTTAAATAATATTTGTTAATATTATTAAATATTATACTATTTATATATTAAATTATATAAATAATATTTAAATAATATTTTTACACCTATTAAAATTATTTAAATAATATTTGTTCTATTTACTTTTATTACTTTACAATAATTTTCTCATTTAATGTTATAAATTTAATGTTATAAATTTTTTAATCTTTTTAATAGCATCCTTTTCATGTTCAAATAACGTACTCTCGGCAGATTCTTGAAACTGAAATTTATTCATCAGCAGAGTTTTCCATTTAGAGAAAGGAACCATCGGAAAAAACATATTCCAATCATAATCAGAGAGAGCCAATTCAGTATACTCTAAGCATTCCTCACCAACCATTTTAAACTCAGATAAAGGATTAAAATCGATTTCCGGAGTTTTGAGTAATGTATTAAAATTCTCGTGCAGCTTTTCAATGCTGACAGCATTTTTATTTATAATAATTTCTTTCACAGATACCTTAAATATAAAAATATTTCATCATTTATGTTCATAATTACGCTGTTACAAATTTTAATGACATATTACAACAGTGATTCTCAACCTCAACAGTAATTCTCTACAGTGATTCTCAAACTGTGCCGCGGTACATTTGTGTGCCGCGAAATTCTAAAAGTGTGCCATTTTTAGATGAGGTAATTTAATTAAATAAGATTTAAAAATTTTTTTTAACAGGAATAGATATTTAAATCCATAAAAAATTGTAAAATTCTTAAAAGTGTGCCGCAACAAAAGCTTGAGAATCACTGGCTTCTTCAATCAATCTTCTTACAAAAAAAATCAGGTTTCAACCTAAGCAAAATGTTAGCAAATAAAGATATTATTTTGAAAAAAATTTCAAGTGTTTTCGTCATAACATTTTACTTTTTCAATGTAAACAAAATTTTTACTGATTGTTTCTCTAATGTGACTACAGAGCACAGGGCTGACGACACAGGTTTTGAAGTTGGGGAGGGGGGCACAATCATCAATTTGTAAAAAAAATCCTCTATATCATTATTTTTTCTAAGAAAAAAAAATTGCCCCCTGGCCCCCGGTGTCGTCGGCCCTGGAGCATAATTAACTCAAAAAACATATAACTTGTAAAATAAGGAAGAAATAAAAATTTTAATGAAAACACAGTCACGCAAAAGTTTATAACAGCTCCATAAAAAAATCAAAACTTTATTAAGAAAAACATATTTATATAATTATACATATTGTACTTACGTATTTATAAAATCAACTTATCGGAGATAATTTTTAACTTCAGATAATAATAGAAAAATCAAAGAGATTGTGACAAGAAAATAAAAATTTAATAATACGTTCTGTAGACAGATTCCTTATAAGAAATTTTTTGAGATATAGAAATCCCAAAGATATAAAGACACCTAACAAGGCAAGCCAAAGATAACTACAGAACATCAATACAGAATTTTGTTAAAACACTCAAAAAAACATCCTTGCAAAAGCGGTCGAATTAAATGACACTTTGAGTAAGAACTATTGTGTTAAGTGAAGCGTAGATACTACAAAACGTCGCACAGTGACTCAAAACAACAAAAAATTACAATAAACTCCTCACAACTTTTTTATAAATTAAGTGTCATTTTTTAAATAATTTAAATTGCAATAAATTTTTATTTTCAAAAGTAAAAATAGCTTTTTTATAAAACTTTTTTTTGTATTTTAAAGTTGAAAGAAGTGAAAAAATATTATTTTCAAAGAAACTGAAAAAAGTGAGATTTTTATTTAACATAGAGTATTGTTTTTTTTTTTTTTTTTTTTTTTTTGCATTTTATCTTTTGAATCTATATATTTCAAATATACTAAAAAGAAAAAAAAAAGTCTGATTTTGTTCAAATTTATAGACTTTTCTAGGTCTATAAATTTAAAAGTAGAAAATAATTGCATTTTTTTGGTTTATATATCATCTAAAAAAATGTTCCGCCGAGTTCCAAGAATATATATTTTTTCCAGATAATTAACATTTCTAGATTTAGAATATAAAGGGATTACTGCGGTCTCCTGCAGTATTAGAAGCTATTAAAGAAATACAAATGGTATTGAATTATTAAAAACCGTGTTTTCCGCCAATTTTTAAAGTATTTATTATATTAAAACAAATGAAAAGAGCGGGAAACTTTAATTTGAAACTTTTACTTGTAGAACTTGTTCTAATATAGTTTTCAAACCATAAGTTTTAAATATAGTTTTAAAAAACACGCTTTTGTTACTATATACTATTTAGAAATTTGTTAAAATATTAATTGTCAATTTTGAAGAAAGACTTATTATTTGATAGGTACAACATGTTTAAAAAAGCTTAACTAAACAACCTTTGTATTTCCTGTAATATGAAATTAACTTAACTTGTAATATGAAATCTAATGTGATAATTGTTAAAGCAATAACAACATAAATTTTAAACAGTATAAAGTAAAAAAATATGTAAAGTAATTTAAAATGTTTTATTATATTGATGGTTATATATTTGATGGTTTTTATATTGATGGTTATATATCTAATCTTATCCCATATTTGGGATAAGATTAGTTCTTATCCCAAATATGAGTGGATAAATTAAGATTATGGAAGGATTTCATATAAGGTATAATGAAATAAAAAAGACTGAAGTTCGCAAAGAAAAATTAAGTACTGGTTGCTTTAGTTATATTTATTTCAAAGGTAAAGAAAAAACTAAAACAATGTGGCCAAAATTATGATGCATTTATACAAAAAAAAATCATTGACTTCAAAGAAATCTTATAATTAATAAAAACAGCCATTTTGGTTCTGGAAGACCCCATAAACAGTGGAGTGTTCTTGGAGAGCGAAGCAAAAGAAAAAAGAATAAACACTAATCTCAGCGATAATTAATATCAAATGATCAGAAACTCAGCTCTACACAATGTACATTTTTATCCAACCTTGCACAATATTTTAGTGGAAAAATTGAAATGCTATCCTGAAAATATGCTTTTTTCTGAAACGTCTGCAAAGTGTACTCTTCAAAGCATGTTAGATCACACTGTTAAAAGAATGTTAGATCACACTCATTTCAGAATGTGGTCAAAATAACAAAATATTTAAAAATTTTTATGGAAAGATTGGTTTTGATGGAGCATTAAGCCAAAGTATTTATAAGAACTTAAGCATAAAGAAAATCTTTTCAGGCTTTTGTGCCTTTATTGCTCAAAGTAGAAGATGGCAAAATTTGGAAAAATGAAAATCCTTTAAGTCGTCACTTTTTTAGTGTCACTTTACTTTTTGTTTTTTACGTCACTTTTTTAGTGTCACTTTTATCTCTTCATCTACAATATAAAAAAAGAGTCCAATTTTATCCAGAGAAGAAGGATCAGATCTAAAAAATCAAATAAATACCTTAAAAACGTTTTGCAAAGTTTAAAAAATAGCTTTATGACTGATTTTGGTACGAAATTCAATGAAAACAAAAATATCTATAATGTAATTCATTTTTTAGACAAATCGGTTATCTTTGAAAATAACAAGTATATCAAAACATATTTTACAAAGAAATAAATTCTTAGGACATTTAAACTACAATAATCATCTTTATTACGCAAATTTTGGTTACTACATTTTATAGCAATCTAAATCTAGGTTATTTTAACTTTTTACTTAGTTTAACTAATGAAATGGTAAAAGAAATTTCGAGTTTTTAAGTTTTTTTCTATAAACATGTCAGACTGATCTTCTACAAAATTTTACACTACGTCATCTATTAAAAAATTTCATACTATGTCATCTACCAAAAAATTTCACACTATGTTATCCATCAAAAATTTCACACAAAAACTTTGAGACATTCAATAACACTTATTAGAATACTTAAGTCACATGACTTGTAATAAAATGTAATTTATTATTTAAAGAGTTTATTATGAAATGAACTTTCTATATATACTAAAAAAGCAAGCAATTTAAAAAACTGTACAAATGGCCATGTTTCCAGATGCAGAACAGGCAAATCACCAATGGCAATCATATATATGATTGCTAGAGATTATATAATAAAACTATATAACTTAATATAAAATTAACTATATAACTATATATAAAACTATATAATAAAACTATATAACTATTTTTAAGACTTTTTATTGGTTAATAAAACATTAAATATATATATATATATATATATGTATATATATATATATATATATATATATATATATATATATATATATATATATATATATATATATATATATATATATATATATATATATAAATATATATATATATATATATATATATATATATATATATATATATATATATATTTTAAAAAACTTTGTAAAAATGCACATTTCTTCTCATTTTCAGTTGAAAAATGTCATTTTCTACACATTAAAATCCAAATAATTAATTTTTATATAGTTTTGCTTTTTCTTAAGCCCAACATGAAACCATCATACTTTAAAGAAACTTTATATATATATATATATATATATATATATATATATATATATATATATATATATATATATATAATATATTAATTATATCTATATTGTAAATATCTTAAATTTATATTAAAATTCACAAACCATATCAAGTTTTATAAAGGTCATAAACCATATTAAATTTATAAAGTTCACAAATATTAAATTTTCCCACCTTATTATGCTTCAATAATGAATAAATAAATTGCAATGAATCATTTTCTAGAACAACAAAATAAACAAAAATCAACATTTGTAATAGGTCAATTTGAAATATATGTAGTATTAAAGTGTATGATATTAAATATAATGTAATATACATAAAATTAAAAACAAACAAACAAAAAAACATACTTTTCTCAATAAGAAGATGATTGCCTTCATTTAAATCAATTTCATGTTTCCTAATGTAATTAAAAAATCTTTATAATTTTTGCAAAATTGAAAATACAAAGATCAGTTTTTTCAAGAATTTATGATTTAGTGATTTTAGAAGGTTTTTTTTTCGAGGAAGAGGACTAAAGAATGAAGGGTACCATGAAACAATCTATCATGAATGAAGGGTACCATGGTCCTAGAAACAATCTTTACCCTCCCCAAGTGTATTTCTTGATTCAGTTTAAATTGGTTTTTAGAAATTTTTAGAGTCACTTTTAACATTGATGTATGCTAGAAAAAACTAGCACTGATGAATGCTAGAAAAAAATATAATTTTTTTTACAACTATTGTTTATTTGTCGTAAAAAAATGTTTTTAAGTTGCTTGTAGCAAGTATTTACTGCAAGTTACCCTATAACCTTGCCTACATAAATGATTTTGGCTAGCTTTATGTCACATTAGACAATAAAACTATGCGTTTGACAATGATTAGAGACAAGATCATCAACACATCAAAATAAATAAAAAATACTTTTATTTATTTTATTTATTAAAATAGCAACAATTAAACCACTTGACTTTTTGTCAATTCTTTTAGTGAAAACATGGTAATGGCTTTATTAGACAAAATAAGTTTAAAAACCGTATAAGCATGACAACCACATAAGCATGACCACGCTACATGGTTGCTAAAAAAAATTTTGTTTCCATTAATTATTTTTTTATTTTTTTTACATTTTTTACTAGTTTTTACTTAATAAAAATTTGTTTTCAAATTTTTTTGTTTGCAATACTTTGAAACCTTACTCAAGTTTCTCTCAGATTTTTTTAAACTGCATCTCTTATAAGAAACAATTCTTTATAAGCTCTTTTTATCATTTACAAGTGTTTTCCTTAAGTAAAAAATAAAATACAGACTTTTATGTACTTATACTTTTAATAAAAGCATACTTGAGATTACACCATGCATCTAAATCAGAAAGCTTTTTCATGATTATCTCTGACGAACTTTGCAAATATTTGTATACATCCATTGAAACTTTTGGATTTTCTGTAACATCTAAAAACAAAATTGTATAAATCCATTGAAACTTTTGGATTTTCTATAACATTTACAAAATGATATTTAATTTTTTTATGTTTTAATATACAGCATATAATATATATATATATATATATATATATATATATATATATATATATATATATATATATATATATATATATATATATATATATATATATATATATAATATTTTAATGACATCTTAATAGTATGATGAAATTTATATATAAAATACATCATATACGGTGAAATACTATTTATTTAACTATTAAAATTTTTTTAAATTTAAATGTGATATTTCGGCTCATATAGTTGTAGTCATTTTCAAACTATCTCTCTCTCTCTCTCTCTCTCTCTCTCTCTATATATATATATATATATATATATATATATATATATATATATATATATATATATATATATATATATATATATATATATATATATATATATATATATATATATATATATATATATATATATCAACAATATCAAAACAAAATATTTATCAACAACATCATAACAAAATCAATAGTGTATAAAACCAAAATTAATAAATATACATAAACTTTTTCATACTTTTACTAAAATTTTAGATGTCTTGTAATAAGTGCATAAATACAAGTGGTAAAAAATTTACTAAATCTTGTGAAATAATGTTATAATAATACTCTATTAAACTTTGAGAAAAACAACATGTACATTAAAATAACATGTACATTAAAACAACATGTACATTAAGAACTACAAAACATATCTAAAAAGGAGATTTTGTAAGTATTACCATGAGTCAAATTATACACAACATGCCACAGTAATTCAGAAAACATTTTAACTTTGTCAAGTGTTTCTGGTGAAATATTAGCATTATAAGAATGATATGTAATATTATACGGATTTGATAACCAATTATACAGCAAAGAAGCAAGTACCTTAAAAAAAACGGATCTTAGTTCGCATGACATAATAAATGATTAACAATTTGTTAACTAAGATTCTTATTAACAATAAGAATCTTAGTTAACAAATAAAACCTAATAAATTTACTTTGGTTCCAAGTTGCTTCTGTTTAATCCATGAAGGTGCAAAATTGCACTCATCTAAAAATAAACTAAAATATTACATAAGTGCAGTTATCAGTTCCTAACACGAACCTAACCAAAAAGGTAGACTTCCATAAACATTTAAAATTTTTATTAAAAGTTTTTAAAAGGGTATAAAAAGTTATATAAAAAAAAATTAAAAATTATGACAAAAGTAACCTAACCTCTAACATAAACCAATAAAACCCATATAACTTTTGGAAAGATAGCAATGTTATCAACCAAAGAATTTAAAGTAAGCACCAAACAATCATGCAACTGTATAGGCCAACCTAATAAAGTAAAAATTAAAAATAAACAATTAGGGAATTAAAAATTAAAAAAATAGTTTAATTAGATTCAAGTATGTTTGCTTCATTATAGTTCATATGGTTGTATTTCATACAATTCTTCTGGGTAACCATAATAAAGTTGCTTCAATATTTAATCTATGATTAACTCATCAAAACTGCTTTATATTTATCAATATTTTGAGTAACTCATCAGAACTGCTTGATATATATAAATATTTTAAATATTAGTTTTCGTTCTTTATGATTTTTTAAAATTTTTCCAGCTGATTTAAAATTTATTATCTTTGCATTTGATAGAACTCAAGTAATAAAAGCATATTTGATAGAACTCAACTAATACAAACTTGATAGAATTCAACTAATTAAAACATATTTGAGAAGCTAGCCTAGAAACATAATGAATACTTTTTGTATAAGCCTCGGAAACTTGAGAAACATAAATAATTTTTATATATATTTTGAATACTTAAGAAACATTGTAGTAAATAATTTTTGTATAGGCTTCGAAAACTTGACATTACAATAAATTTATACCATTTAAAGACTATTTTGAAATTTGATAGGAGACATCAAAGTTTTTATTGAAGGTTTAAGAATTCATTTAGTTACACGATACACATAATAAACACGATACACTGAAATATTTTTATATTTTTTTAAATTTCATTTAGGTGTCTCAAATGAAATTAAAAAAACATGATGCTCTGTGATAAGTCCTACCGGTCTTATCACAGAGCACCATGAATGAGCATTTAATTAGAAGTTCACGCCTTTATAAGCATTTGTAACATTTCCAAGTTCTGCATTATAAAAGAAACAGTAACCATGTAAATCTTTACTTAACTTTTTTCTGTTTTTAATTTAAGTTTAACATTCATGGTTCCACAGTTGTGTGTTTTGTAAATTTCATGGTTTCACAGTTGTGTATTTTGTTTTTAATGGGTGAGTTTTGAACAAATTTCCACAATGCCATTTTCTTATTTAAATATGACAAAGAAAAATTTAATTAAGTTTTACAACTGCATGTCCTCCCCACTGTGGAACAGAGAGCCTATTAGGTTTGATGGAGTGTCATCTGGGATTTTTTCACTGAAAAAATATTGTTTTCATTAAACTAACATGGTTTAATCATATTTAAAATTAGTTTCACTTGCTAAGAGTAAAAAAAAACATAAAATTCTGAACCCCCTCCCACAATTAAAAAATGAGGGGTTGTTAATTTTACATAGCCACAGCTCCTGGATATCAAAGTATTTTTTAATGAAATCTATAAATTATTTTTAATTTAGTTTACATCAGTATAACTTTTTTTTTCCGAAAATTTAACTGAGATGAGCCTGGGTTGTCAAAAGTTTTGGGTTTTATTTGAAAAAAAGTTTGCTACAATCTCATGATTTTTTATAAAACAACTTTATTTAACAATATAATGAAATAATTTTTTTTTACTAAATATAATCTCAATAAAAAACTAAGTATTATAATCTTTTAATTGCAAAACCAACAACAGCAGTTTTTAATCTCCATAATCTTTATGATCAATACTGTCTTTATATTGTTGTCATGTAGGCTTTGCATAAATTGCTTCACCACACAGTTCTGCATACTTTGACAAGCCACATCCTGCATTCTTTACAAAGGAAAAAATATGGCAACATATAATGTGGATTTTCCATGAAGCTGTTAGTGTCTTTCCAAGCAAAGAAGCTGTTTCTTGTAGGCATAGAAAAGCATCTCTAAACAGTGATATTTTATGTTCTGAGTCAGAATCAAAATTTTTTCCAAAACAAGCAAACAGATATACTAGACATTTGTTTACAATATTATCAAATTTCTTCATGGAAGACCTAATGAATCCATTTTCAATATACGCTTCATAACAGGAATCAAGTTCGCCAATAGTCCTAAGAGTTCCAATACCAAGTGTACATTCGCCACTACAACATAAGCAAGCTTTTTTACCTGCATGTGATGAAAGACCGAATAATACATTAGCACATTTAAGATCAAAAGCAATATAATAGTTTAAACCTTCATGATTAAGTTTCTTAAGCACTAATCTAAGGTGTTCATATTTTTCAGGAACATATAGTAATAGTAATATAGATGCTGTAGTGAATTACATTGCAAAACATATATATGGTTATGTATGCATTATGACAGCCTACATTACTCTCTATTTTATATATAATAATTTACAATTTGTTAAAAATCAAGAAAAAAAAATTAAAGTTAAATAAATTTCAAAATATTTATAATAAAAATCTATCAAGTCTTGGTTTAAAAGAATTTAAAGACTGCACATTTACCACATGAATCGGTAATGCATTTTATTTATTCGCATACGGTTACTAAAAAATGCTTGTCAAGACAAAGAATGTTTGACATTTTCTTTTTCAATTCTTATATTATGACCTCTTATTGCTGATGCTGGTCCGCTTGCTCGTAATGATGGTGCAAATTGTTGCGGTTTAAGCCATTTAATATGATCTATACTGTTCAATAATTTGTACTCTTGTATTAGATCCTGCATAAATGCCTAGTCTTTAACATAGTTAATTTTATTTTGGATAATCGCTTCTCATGACACAGATGTTTGAGATTCTGTACCAGTTTGGTTGTGCAACGTTGGACTTTTTCTAGTTTTTCAATGTCACCTTTCAAAGTAGGATTTCATACAGGGATTGTAAACTCAAGGTGCGGTCTAACTAGCACTGTGTACAGAGTATGAATCATTTCAGTATTCAAATGAGTGAAGGTACGCTTGATGGCTCTAAATACATTCTGCGCTTTGCTGCTGCTGCGTTAACTTGATGATGCCATTTGATGTCTGATGAGATCAACAGGCTGAGGTCACATTCTACTGTTGTTTTGCCTAGTTTGTACTCAACACCATTTTCTGTAATCGTATAGATGGTCTTTTTGCCAATGTGCATAACATTGCACTTCTCTTTGTTTAACACCATAAACCATATACTTGTCCATTCAACTAACTTGTTGGTATCGTTTTGCAAACTGATTGTATCCGAAATGTTTTTTGTTTTAGTTATGTTATATATCTAAATATATATTGCATATAATCATTTGTTGTATTTACTGTCAATGAGCAGGAGTAAAGGACAATCCTTATAGTTTTAATAATGTTTAAATGTATAATATTTTTATATGTGTAAAAAATTTTTCAACTTTTTTACATAGCATTGAAATATTATACATTTAAGCACAAAGACTTCAATGTTATTTTGACTGAAATAACATTAAAAGGCTGAAATTTTTTTATGGATGTTCTATATGGGTGGTCCTTTGTTATTTATACTATACTATAGTATTAGTATAAAACAAATTGATTTAAATATAAAGTATTAGTATATAAAATACTTTAGCAGCTTGAATTCCCCATGATCCTCTTTAAGTATGGCCACTCTTAAGAAAGTATAAATTTCGTTTACAATTACCACACATGGCATTAGGAAAAGCCATAATATTTTTATCATAACCATCATATATGTAGAGTTTGATCATATCTTAAATTTGGATGGTGACTTCTGATAGCGACTTAGATCTAGCACTTTTTTCAACCCAACACACTGTACAAACTGAATCATGTAACTGTTTCCAGACATAATATATTTGGTATTTTTATTTATTGAACATTATATTATTAGTCAAAAAGTAATATCCAGACAACTTTTATTAACAGGGAAGCGCTCATGTTTTATTATATTGAAACAGTTCACTTAGTAGTATACTAAATTTGTAACAGTAACTTTTTTAGACAAATTTAAAATTTAGTTTAAATGATTATCTGGCAAATTAAAGAGTTCCTCTATGTAAAATTCAGAATGCATATTAATTTTACTCATTTGCATATTAATTTTACTCATTTGCACATTTTATGTGAAAATTGGTCGGAAAATTTTACTGTCTTAGCAAGTGAAACTAATTTTAAATATGATTAAACCATGTTAGTTTAATGAAAACAATATTTTTTCAGTGAAAACTCCCAGGTTCAAACCTAAAATGCCCTCTAGTCCACAGTGTCTCTGACATAGTGTTGCCAAATGTTAGGCTTTTACAAAAAAGAACACCCTAAAAAAATTTATTTTTTACAGGTTTGACTCTGTATTCTCCTCTGTAAAAGTTGACTCCATCAAACCTAAAATGCCCTCTAGTCCACAGTGTCTCTGACATAGTGTTGCCAAATGTTAGGCTTTTACAAAAAAGAACACCCTAAAAAAATTTATTTTTTACAGGTTTGACTCTGTATTCTCCTCTGTAAAAGTTGACACTGTATCTCCTCTGTAAAAGCCAGACATCTAGCAACTCTACCCTGATGTGAATCAGGATTTTTATTGTGATTAGTATCACAAAAATAGAATCATATATTATTTTTAAGGATTATCATACATTATTACCTTCTACTTTACTGTCAACCAAATTGAAGTTTTATATGTGAGTTTTTTTTCCTAAATAAGTTGACACCAACATAGCTAAGAAACCATACCATGAATTTAGGATTTCCTGTCCCAATACAAGTTAACATATGACCAGGACATGGCGCTTGGTATAATTGCTTAAAATAATAAAAACTGCATCTTCAATAAAACCAATAAAATATACCATCATATTGTACCATGAGAGATAAAAAAAATGTACCATATTGTACTATGAGAGATGAAAAAATATACCATCATAATGTACCATGAGAGGTGACAAAACATACCATCATAATGTGCCACAAAAGATGACAAAATATACCATCATATTGTAACATGAGAGATGACAAAACATACCATCATAATGTGCTATGAAAGATGACAAAATATACCATCATATTTTACCATGAGAGTTGAAAAAATATACCATCATATTGTACCACAAGAGATGATAAAATATTTTATCTGTATACAGGTAGACTATAGGTAATACTGAAAACTTAATCAATATATATTAATATTGATGATTTTAATATCACTATTATCCCTTTTAATTTTTTTTTCAATTTCATAAACCTTTTATTTCTTTTTTTTTAAAAATTCAACTCTAAAACTTGAATATTGTTTTATAAACACCATTGAATAGACTCAATGATTAAAAAAAATTAAAACTTAGAAAGTTTTATAAAAGTTTTTATACAAACTGTATTGCTGCACAATAAAATGAAATAGAAAAAATATTTTTATAGTGAATGAACTACTTTTTCTGTTCTGTTTTTAATCTTTTTAAGTTTTTTCTATTTAACAATTATAAGTAAAATCAAACCTTTTCTATTAAACCTTCATTTCTTAAAAGTGAAGTTTTTAACAATATAGATAACAGTGTTATAGTGTTTTGTGGTGCTATGTGAATAAACTTGACATATTAACATTTCAAATTTTAAAATGCAAATCTCAGAACTTGTATATTATTTAATTGTTGTTACACTTCATTCTTTATTGTGTTGATTGAAATTCAATGTAAATTTTGTACGATTTAATGCATCTATTCTATATTATATAACCAATAAATTTACTTGATAACTTAATAAAAAATGTTAAAATAAAAAAAGTAATTATTTTTATACTTTGAAAGGCTTTCTCTTCATCTCCTGGAGCTGTAGCACAACCACATGGAAGTGATTGAATATTTGTAAAATTAAATGAAGGTGTAGCTCGAATTCGATCTTTTTCAAAAATTAACTCAAAAGCTGGCTTTAAAATTCTAGAATCCATAGTAAAATTTAAAATTATAATAGTGTTAATATATATATATATATAATATATATATATATATATATATATATATATATATATATATATATATATATATATATATATATATATATATATATATTAGGGTGTCCCAAAAACATACTTTTTTTAAAATTTTAATGTGCACTCCACTGATCCCTATTCTATAGGTCCTAAATAGTTACTAAATCTTTATTTTTTATTTTTTAATGACTAGAAGTGATAGATGTAAATTCTGAGTTTTACGGTATTTTACACATGTGTATTTATATAAAAACAGCGCTATCTAGTATTTCAATATGTTTTAATATGATGCAATAATTGGTACACAAATAATTCCCATAGGACATTATTAAAGAATAGGATCATTCCCTATGAACTTGTTAGCGATTGATATAATTCCCTCTGGACAATATTATTAGTTGGTATAATTCCTCATGGATTGGTTCACAAATAACTCCATTTAGAAATTTTTTTTGAAGGAAAAAATTTCTAAATGGAATTATTTGTGCACGAAGGAATTCTAATTTGTGCACCAAAAAATTCTTGTGTAAACAGTTATAAAAGCCTTAACGGTAAACTTAGATAAAATATGATACGAGAGCAAATAACGACTTCATAGATTTTTAATGCGTGTAAAATTTAGTATAAACTTAGTTAAAAAACTGATTATTTCGAAATTCATATAAAAATGGGAAGAACAGCTAAAAAAAAAAATACGATAGGACAGAATAAGAAAAAACGGAAAAATACAGAAAGGTTGAGGTATATTTACCTATTGGAGTAACCACTGAGGGATTTACCTCAGAGACAGCTTCCATCTAATGGTGATATTCTAAGATACTATCAATTTATCCTTCGCAAGTCACAAGTAAAATACAAACCCACTTTTACTGATGTTGGTTGCAAATTGAAATCGAAATTCAAGGATCTTGTTTGTGAAAATGGTGTTTGTACAGATTCTGATAACTCTTGCTTGGTAAATAGGATTAAAAAAATTTGGGATAATGCTGGGTTTGGCAAGAAATTTGTGATTTTAGGGTACAATATAAAGACCAAAATCATTAAACTTAATCTAAAATACAAGAAGTTGATTAAATTGTCTTCTCTAAACTGGAACAGCAGCCTTGATAAGCAATCAAATTTTCTGACAGAATCCTATTAGCTTTTTGACATCTCCACTAAGAATTTTAATATTATACTAGAATTTTAATTAGATATTCTTGCTGATAGATTGAGAGCAGATGATGCCAAGCTGGAAGATATAAAGTAAGTTTATTAAATAAGACATTTTTAGTAGTGAGATTTTTTTTCCTTATTAAAGTAACTTAAGCAATACTATATTATTTCCTTAAAAATATTTACATTTCACTGCTTCCATGATTTGGCCATCTTCCAGAAAAAACTAGAACATTTATTAATTTATTTATAAATGTCTTAATAGAATTAACTATTTCTTAGTTTTATGAAGACCAAAAGTTGGATAGGAAAGGATATATGGAAACAAACGTTGACGAAGACTATAGTAGGAGAGTACTGGATGCAAACAGGAGAAAGAACAAGCTAGATAAGTTGAGAGAAAAAGAATTAGAGAGACAGAAAAACGTAAAAGATATCAATGATGTTTTGTTGTCACATGACTCCATGACAGAAGAGATTCAATTCAGCAGTGAAGAAGAAAAGCCAAACGAGGACTCTGAAATCAGCGAGAAAGAAGATTTCCTGCGTAATGGTCGGAAACACAGGTATAGTATTATTTTAATAACATAGTTGTAATTTTCACAAGCTAAAACTGTTTTATTGAAAAGTATATAATTATAAATAGGTAGAAAAGTATTATAAAATGATATCTAGGTACAATTCTGGAAAGAGGATAAATCTAGCAGTGAATGTTGAAAAGCTCATTGAATGTACTGCTATTCCAGCAACAAGGTTCAATGTTGGTGTACGACCTCATCTGGCAATTTTAAGTGAAGTATTTAAAGCTGGAGGTATAGAAATTAATGATATACCACTTTCACGAAGCACACTTCATAGAAAAAAGTTCAAATATGTAGAACTTGAAGGAGACTTGGAGTGGATTTCAATAACTAATAATCTTAAAAGCCGACGGCTCATTCTTCATTTAGATACCAAACTGTTGGAACAAATTACCACTAGGCTTAACATTATTCAAAAAATTGAGCAACTTGCAGTCTCAGTGAGTTCCCCGGATGACGATACCTTGGAAGACCATCTTTTAGGTGTTGTTCAATGTCCCTCTTCAAAGGGAGTTGACCAAGCAGAACAAGTGCACAATCTTTTAGAATATTACGAATGTAAAGAGCAGATCATAGGTATATGCTGTGATACAACTGCAAGCAATACAGACGGAGTCAATGGAGCAGTCCAAATTCTTACAGATATTTTGAAAATACCAATTTTGTGGATAATGTGTAGGAGACACATACATAAAGTACATGTATCTCACTATATGGCTGATTGGCTATGTTCTTCGCACTGTTGCAGAGGAAGCTAAAAACTTTTTGACTAATACAACTACTGATATGGTGTTTTCAAGGAACGATTATGGTATAGTTTTTAAGCTTGTCTCCTTTTTCCTCGGAGCGGAAGTACAAGATTTTAAGTTCCAACAACCTGGCGCCTGCCATGAGGCAAGGTTTTTAGCAGATGCAATCTACATCCTGACTCTTTATATGACCAAAGATATCAGTAATATCTTGACAGAAAAAGAAGTGCTGCAGTTGAAGGATGCAAGTTTGTTCATTGCAATTTGCTATGCTCCATGGTTTTTGAAAAGTGTTTTAGGATTTCTGGCTCCCTACAATAATTCGAAAGCTATCCAGACAGTCTATGCATTGAGAAAAGTCAATAAGAATATTAGAAAGGCTTTGCTTATCAGCATGAGACGCCATACGTGGTACTTAACTCCGCAACTCTGTAATTTTTCCTTTGGGGATAAAGAAGTTCCTACTGAAACAAAGCTAAGAATGCTGTTAGCTCTGATTGAGTTTGAAAAGCCAAATAAATTTCAGCGTTGTAAACCATCAAATGTACAAATTGGAGAGACCACAGAGCTACCTGAGTTGATTTCCGTGCAAAGCTACCTTCTCTATAAAATACATTTTAAAATATCAAGAGCAAGTATAAAAGAATGGCTCAACAATAGTCTTAATACTATAGATGTTTTTAACCATCCTTAGTTGCTAGATTTTATTGCATTGATTAAAAACATATCTGTTGTAAATGATGGAGCAGAAAGAAAAATTAAGTTCATTAAAGATTTTATTTCAGTTACTAGAGATGAAGATCACCTTCAAAATGTACTTTTTGTAGTTAAGAAGTCTAGAAAAAACTTGACTAAGAGTACGAGTAGAAAGAAGCTTGGGAACTGTTCAAAAAGTTGTATTTTTTGAGAAATGTTTCACCGCAATAAAATCTTAAATTTGCTAATAAATATTAGTTTTCATGTATTTTTTTTTTTTGTATTTTCATATTTATAAATATAAACTATCAAGTTAAATAGTAGAAAACAGTTATAAATGATTTATACGCATTTAATTGTTTTGTTTTAATTTTCTAAAATGTAAAAAAATTGTGTTTTCTATAATATTAAGCCAGCTTAACATTAAAAACAGTAAAACTCAGATTTTACATCTAGCACTTCCTGTCAAAATAAAACAGTCAAATTTTTTTTAGCACTTATTTTGGTCACATAGAATGGGAATCAGTAGAGAGCTTTTTTTTTTTTTTTTGGGACACCCTAATATATATATATATATATATATATATATATATATATATGAGTGACCCTTTCCCCATACCTGCGTATGTAATTTATGGATGAATATATATATATATATATATATATATATATATATGTATGTATGTATGTATATATAAATATATATATATTTATATATATATATATATATATATATATATCTATGTATATATACTTATATATATATATATCTATGTATATATATATAAATATATATATATATATATATATATACATAGATAGATATATATCTCTCTCTCTCTCTCTCTCTCTCTCTCTCTCTCTCTCTCTATATATATATATATATATATATATATATATATATATATATATATATATATATATATATATATATATATATATATATATATATATATAGAGAGAGAGAGAGAGATAGCTGATATATATATATATATATATATATATATATATATATATATATATATATATATATGTATATATATATACATACATATATATATATATATATATATATATAAATATATATATATATACATATATATATATATATATATATATATATATATATATATATATATATATATATATATATGTATGTATATATATATATATATATATATATATATATATATATATATATATATATATATATATATATATATATATATATATATATATATATATATATATAATGCAACTAATTTTGCAACGGATTCGATATAAGGTTTCCAAGAAAAATCAAAACTAAGAGTTAATCCTAGAAGATGAAGGGTAGATGACTCATCGAGTACATTACCGTTCATGAATATAGGAAGGTCTAAATTATTGCGATAACAATTGGCTGAAATAAATTAGGTTTTATCTGAATTAAAGTTCACCAGCCACTGTGAGCCCCATGCTGTAGCAGAAGTGAGATCCTTTTCAAGCTCAAATGCCCCCTCCAAGCAATCTGAGAGTGTTGGCTTCTTATCATGACAAGAATAAATGGTAGTATTATCAGCGAACAATGCCACCTTAGATGTGAAAATATCTGGAAGATCGTTAATGTAAATTAAAAAGAATATAGGGCCAAGGACCTCAAGAAACCCCTGAGGTTACAGAATAAAAAGAAGAGTGCTGTCCATCAAGGACATCTTTTATACTATGTTTGAAATAGAAGGATTCAATAATCTTAAAGATGTTACCAGATACACCATAAGAAGAAAGCTTATGGAGAAGACCAGCATGCCAAAACTTATCAAATGCTTTAGAAATGTCAAGAGCAATGACCTTAACCTCTCCATCTTTATCTTATACACAATAAAACCTATCGGTTATTACTGTTAGCAAATCAGTCGTAGAACGAGAAGATCAAAATCCATATTGATGATCAGAAAGTAAGTTATTAACAACAACAACAAGATATTTATTTTCCTCAAAATTTACAATCATATAATATATTAATAATAATAATAATAATAACAACAATAATAACAATAATAGGAAAAGAATAACTATAATGTTATAAATAAAAATAAGAATAAGAATATCTATAGTCTATAATAATAAAAATAATAATAAAAATAATAAGAATAAGAATATCTAAAATATTATAAATAATAAAATCAAAATAAAATCATTAAGAATAAATATAAATAATTGATTGAGGAAGGAATCACTCATGCAGAATCCTGATCAAAGGAGTGACACAAAATAATAATATTAATAATATTATTTAATAGTAATAATAAAAACAACAGTAATAAAAGTAATAAATATTAATGACAAAAATAATAAAGTTTTTATAGAAATAGTAAGAAAAAAATAATAATAATAAAAAGAAAAGAACACTAAAGAAAGTTAATAATGATAAAAACTTAAAATTAATTTTATTTTAGAATTTGTTTTAATTTATTTTGTTTTAAATAAAGAAATAAAGATAAATTATTTTGAAATTTTAATTTTTCAAACTCATTCACAATGCGCACAAGACTTTGATTCCATTCACTGATGCACTGATGTGTAATAGAATACTTACCATACCTCAAAGTTTTATAGGGAGGTACATTTAATTTTCCATTAGATGTTTCTAGTTAAATGTGAATGTATAAATCGAGTTTCAATGAAGAAGGTTGTAATAGAGAAAGGTAAATTTTTATTAAGGGAGTCAAAAACAAAAAGAAGATTAGCAAATTTAACTAGTGCTAACAAGGTAGGAATTTTAAGTTTTTTGAAGAACTTTGAAATTTCTGTATTAAGGAGTTGAAAATTAATTATTCAGATTGATTGGCGCTGAGCTGATAACAATTTACTAATAAAAAATAAAAAAGACACTGGATACTGGTCATTTTGTAAGTGGTGTTTTTATCGACTTACAAAAAGAGTTCGATACTTTTAATCATACCATTTTAATTTCTAAACTTGAACATTACGGAATCCGAGGAGTTTCTTGTAACTAATTTGAATCTTATCTTTCAAATCGAAAGCAGTTTGTTAGCATTAATGGTTAAAAATCAAATAACAAACATATAGTTTGTGGTGTTCCCCAGGGTTCTGTTCTTGGCCCTTTATTGTTTTTGATTTATATTAATGATCTAAATAACTCTGTCCACTTCTCATCAGTCCATCTTTTTGCTGATGATACTAATATCTTTCATATTAATAAGTCTCATCATTCCTTGTGTAAGAATATAAGCTTAGACCTAAAAGGTTTAGTTCATTGGCTAAATAAAACCTAATTTTTCTGAACTTGAAAAAAACTGAACTAATATTTTTTTTCATCTCCAAGATAAAAACTTTTATACAACAATCATATAACTAAAATTAAAATTAATAATAAACGTTTATATCCAACACACGTTGTTAAATATCTTGGTATTTTTATAGATTCGAACCTCTCATGGAATTTTCATATAGATGCACTCTGTAAAAAACTTAATCGAGCTAATGGCATGCTTTCAACAATTTCCCATTATGTTGATAAAAATACCTTTAAGAATCTGTATTTTGCATTTTTTCAATCTCATCTGTTTGCAATTTTTCAATCTCTACTGTTGTCAAGTTTGGAGACAAATTGGCAACTTACAGTTGCCATGAGAGGTTCGAATCTATAAAAATACCAAGATATTTAACAACGTGTGTTGGATATAAACGTTTATTATTAATTTTAATTTTAGTTATATGATTGTTGTATAAAAGTTTTTATCTTGGAGATGAAAAAAAATATTAGTTCAGTTTTTTTCAAGTTCAGAAAAATTAGGTTTTATTTAGCCAATGAACTAAACCTTTTAGGTCTAAGCTTATATTCTTACACAAGGAATGATGAGACTTATTAATATGAAAGATATTAGTATCATCAGCAAAAAGATGGACTGATGAGAAGTGGACAGAGTTATTTAGATCATTAATATAAATCAAAAACAATAAAGGGCCAAGAACAGAACCCTGGGGAACACCACAAACTATATGTTTGTTATTTGATTTTTAACCATTAATGCTAACAAACTGCTTTCGATTTGAAAGATAAGATTCAAATTAGTTACAAGAAACTCCTCGGATTCCGTAATGTTCAAGTTTAGAAATTAAAATGGTATGATTAAAAGTATCGAACTCTTTTTGTAAGTCGATAAAAACACCACTTACAAAATGACCAGTATCCAGTGTCTTTTTTATTTTTGTGGTTATACTTATTAAAGCGTGGCAAGTAGAGTGTTTTGATCGAAATCCGAACTGAAATTCATTTAAACAGTTAAAGGAATTAAAAAATGAGTATGATATAGAGTACATTAGTTTTTCAAGGAGCTAATGTTAGAAAAAATTGAAATTGGTCTATAGTTAGGACATGAGAGTTTTGAGCCATTTTTATATACTGGAATGACACAAGATAATTTCAAAATGTCAGGAAAAATTCCATTTTAGAAGGAGATATTAAATAGCTTAGAGAGAATATAAGAAAATTCAGAATTAAAACAATAAGAATATTTGTGGGGATGCTGATTTTCTAGATTTTAATTTAGATATAAGTGATGAGATTTCAGAATGGTTTGTTGGAGATATCAGTAAACTATGAAGATTTGGATGTTTTACTTTTTATTGCTAATGTAAGATTGTGAATTTTAGAATTAAGTTTATGAGCTACATTTGTGAAAAAGCTGTTAAATTCTTCGCAGATTAGAGTAGGTCCAGTTATGTGTGTTTTGTTAACTTGTAAGCAATTTGAAGGTATATTATTGACATTTTTGATATTTATTAGACATTTTTGAGATTTATTCATCCATAAATTACATACGCAGGTATGAGGAAAGGGTCACTAAAAAGTGTACTCAAAAGTGTACTCACTGAGTGTATAAAGGAAAAGGTGGATAATTTTTTGTTTGAATTTTTTCCATGTAAAATCTGGGAAATCAGGCAAAAAAACCTATCTACTGGAAGAAATATGTTACTGTGGATTTGATATTAAATAAAAACAATGAAACATTGTGCAGTTTTTTTTATTTTGTAGCCATTCTTAAAAATTTAAATTTATTTAAAATCAAGTTTTCACATTTGAATTATTATTAAAATGTATTCATCTTAAGAAATAAATAAAAAAAAATATATTTATAGATATTTATTTAACTTATTACTAAAGTAAGTAACTGTCATTAAAAATGTTTAACACATGACTTTTTAAACTAAGATTTCTTGTCTCATTATCCGAATTTGTGGTTTAAAACTTTAGATTTTTCAAAATTCTATCAAATTTTAATTTTTGAAAATAATAAACATTCCAATCTATCAGTTTGCAGTAATGAGTTCATAACTTTACATTCGTTATTTGTGCAAAACAGAAAACTGCTTTATAATTTGAACTGAATGCACAATTTAATTATTATCAAGTGAATTATTTTTTTATATACTTAATTATATAATAATTATATAATTAAGTATATAAAAAATAATTCACATTCACAATAAATATTATGACTTATATGATATACTAATATAATATATACTATAGTGTAAGTATATATATATATATATATATATATATATATATATATATATATATATATATATATACATATACATATATATATATACTTACACTATATATACTTATGAAGCAAACGCTTTACCACTACACCACTACTGCATATATATATATATATATATATATATATATATATATATATATATATATATATGTGTGTGTGTGTATATACATGAATATATATATATATATATATATATGCAGTAGTGGTGTATATATATATGTATATGCAGTAGTGGAATATATATATGTATATATATGTATATATATATATATATACATATATATATATATATATATATATATATATATATGCAGTAGTGGTGTAGTGGTAAAACGTTTGCTTCATAAGTGAGAGGTTCTGAGTTCGATCCCCACCATGTCCCTGGTAGTACCGTGCTCAACTTGTTTCTCCGTGAAGCAACCTTGTTTTTCAGGGTTCCTGTTTCGGAGTTATAGAGTTGAGAGAGTTATAACCACTATTAAGTAGCCTCCTCATCTGTAGTGGCCTCCTCGGCCTTGAGGAGGTGAATAAAAACAAACAAACAAACAAACAAAATATATATATAATATAACCAGGGTACGATTAAGGGATAATATGATAAAGGTCAATAGGAATTTAGAAATAAACTACCTTTTCAAAACAGAGCTTATATTATCAGCAATAAGTTGCAACCATAATGGCAACTAAAAAAAAAAATAAACTAAATGTAAAAGAAATGCTAAAGCAATATTAAAAATAAAAATAGAAAAAAAAAGAGTCATATGAAAGAAGTTGGTGTTAATTCTTAATATATAGTTTAACAGAATTCTTTTAAATTATATGATATATAATTTGACAGAATTCTTTGAAATTATATGATATCATATAGTATCTGATTTATTCAAAAAGATTTTCAAATAAAATTCATTCAACACTAATTCTAAAGAGTGTAAGTTTATATACCTTTTTTAAATGCTACATCAATAAACATGTTTTACATATGTTATATATTTAAATATTATATTTATATGTAAATACAAAATTTCAGTAGTAGAGCCAGATAATCATTACAAGGATAATTTGCTTTCTCACAAAAAATCTCACAATAAACTTTCTGTGATGTAATTTGAATAAAAAATAAATAATTTAGATAACTTAGCATAAAAAATTTTTTATATTTTGAAGAAGGATAACAATCTGCAAATCTTACACATTCATAACAAAAAAAAAACAAAGCTGCATCAACTCAAGTTGGAAGAAACTTGTAATGTGAAACATTTATGGTTAATGCATTTGTATTTATAATATTTTAAAAATGAAAAATTATTAAAAAACAGAATTAAAAAAATACCTCCTCAACATCATTTTTCTTGAAACTTTTTGAATAATCACTAACAAAAATAATCATTTATTTTTACTACGAATATTCTTTTACAAAAATATTAATTTTTACTATGAATATTCTTTTACAAAAATATTTATTTTTACTACGAATATTCTTTTACAAAAATATTTATTTTTACTACAAATATTCTTTTACAAAAATATTTATTTTTACTACGAATATTCTTTTACAAAAATATTTATTTTTACTTTGAATATTCTTTTACAAAAATATTTATTTTTACTACGAATATTCTTTTACAAAAACAGACAGGCAGTGACAATTACTTATTACTTTTTTGTAATTAACCACCTGTGGTTAATATCAAAAAAATACATTAAATGTTCATTTAACACTTGCAACATCTTGTTAAAGTATCACTTTTAAAAAAAAATTTGATAAATTTTATATTTATCTTAATCATTTATTTAAAATTACATTTACTTTGCAGCCATAGAAAATACCATAAACAGTTTAAATAAATTATAAGATTTTTTACTTTGGAGGTTCCATATATAGACAATAACCAAAAAAAATTTAAAGACCTATACTCTATTTTATGACATAACTGTAAAATTTTTAACTTTTAAACTAAAAAAGCATCACACTCAAAACTTTTTTTGCATTATGGATGACTTACCTTGCAACGTCTTATCTTTTTGTAAACAACATGCGCGCATACTTGTAGGCAGAAAACATTAAAACTTTATAAGAATACATTCATAAGTTTATAATATAAACACACAAAAACACACAAAACACAGTGTTTTTTGCATTTCTTTTCATTAAATTTTAAACTTCAAGCAATCTTCAATTCAAATCAGCAATTAACTTAACATAACAAAAAAAGTTTTGAGTATGATGCTTTTTTAGTTTAAAAGTTGAGCTAAAAAAAAAAAGCCCTTAAGTTGCACTAATGTAAAAAAAGTAAAAAAGTAAAAAACGGTAAAAGATCATAAAAAGCTGAAAATAGTACAGACAAAACACAATTACTTGATTTAAATTACTCATTATACTGTCATAATCATTATTAGCATTTTTTTTTTTTTTTTAACATCTTCGCTTCCAACAAAGCTGCAAGCAACCACTAATTAGTGTTGGAAGTTACTGGAAGAGAAAAGACGAAGATTGTAGAGCAAGATAACGATTGACCGACGACTTAAAAGATTGCAAATTATATGAATCAGGAAAGCAAGATGAAGGAAGCGAATTTTAAAGAACTGATGTTCAAGGAAAAAAACTAGACGAATAAGAGTTTTTAGGAACAGTAACAGAAAAAGGATGTAACACGAGAATGAATTTTAGTAGATGGCACAAGAGACGCTAGCTCTTTAGAGCAGTGCCCTTATAGTATTTGTAGAAAAGAAAAAGAGAAGCACATTACAACAATGGTTGGAGGTTGGCTGCAAGAGCAGGTCCAACTATGTTTACAATGTGCTTATGCACATCGTCTAAAAGAGAAAGGGCATCATCAGAAGATCCGCTACAAATATGGCATCAGTATTCCATTCAAGGACAGATTTAAGATTTAAAGAGATAAAGAATAGAATCCGGAGTAAGAAAGTGGTGAGCACGAGCACTAGATGCATTTTTAGCAGATGCTATTTTTGATTTGATATATGGTTTCCAAGAAAGATTGGAAGTAAGAGTTAATCCTAGAAGATGAAGCGTAGGTGACTCATCAAGTACATTACCGTTCATAAATATAGGAAGATCTAGATTATTGCGATAATGATTAGCTGAAAAAAATTGAGCTTTATCTGAGTTAAACTTCGTGAGCCACTAAGAGCCCCACCTTGTAACAAACAAAAAATCTTTTTCAAGCTCAAATGCCCTTTACAATAGCACTTAAGGGAATTTTTGGAAGATTTTTAATATAAGTTAAACAGAAGTATAGGGCTGAGGATAGAAACTTGAGGAACCCCTGAAGTAACAGGGTATGAAGAAGAGTGCTAGCTATCGAGGACAACTTTTATACTACAATTAGAAAAGAAGGATTCAATAATCTTAAAGATTTTACCTCTAAACCATAAGAAGAAAGTTAATGGAGAAGACAAGCATGCCAAACATTATCAAAGGCTTTAGAAATATTGAGAGCGATAGCCTTAAGCTTTCCATGTCTATCTAATGAGCAATAAAACCTATCAGTTATTACTGTTAGCAAATCAGCTGAAGAACAAGAAGATCAAAATCCATATTGATGATCAGAAAGTAAGTTATTAGATTCAAGATGAGAGATTAAGTGTTTGCTAATTCTCAAGAAGAATTTTTCGAGACTCAAAAACTTTGCTTATGATAGGAAGAAGACTAATGGGACGGTAGTTAGACAAGTCAGATCGCTCTCCAGAATTTTCAAAAATAGGGATAACAGATTCCGCTTTCGAACTAACTGGAAAACAAGGTAATGATAAGCACTTGGTAAATAGTTTTAAAAGTATAGAAAACAGCTCTGGAGAACATTTCTGCAAGACTTTTTTTCTTAGCAAAAAGTTAAGCTTTGTCTTTAGGTGAGGCGACAAAGTATGAATCATACAAGAGAGGTGGAATAACAGATTTGCCCTTATTATAGATACTGTTAAAGATTCTCCAGAAGCCACAAAAGCCTAATTTTTGAGATGATTTTGTGACCTAAGAATAGCGGGCTTCGGCATTAGACAAAACCTTTTTACGATGGTATCTAGCAATAGTAAATAGACTTCTGTTTTCTGGAGAATTGTTTTGCTGATAGATATGGAAATAATGGTTTTGATTGGAAATTGCAGCAGCTCAATGTGAGGAAAACCATGGAGAAGAGTGAGGCTTGACTTGGAATTGTCGAGAGGGTTGTTTTTTTAAAAAATATTATAAAAATGATTACAATTTGTTATATGATACCAGTAGCAGAATGATTGCCATAATCCTGATCTTAAACCTGATCTAACATGCGTAAGTATTAAAATGTTTGTATCAAATATTTAAATGAATGATGTTTCATACTAACAGTGCTTATACATTAACAGTGGTACCATTAAAATCTGCTTGTCTAGTAGCTCCTAGGTGACTTCATTTTTTGATTGTCTTTTTATATTTACAGGTAAATATGCCCTTAACTTTCAAAAAATAGAAAAAAAAAATATGTATAGATATTTAAAAAAAAAACCTACTCTTTTATCATGCTTGCCATAAAAAAAATAAATGACGTGTGAGAATAGCTTAAAAAAATATCATAAAAACAATGTGCTATCTGTTTCTTCTTTATTGATTGAAATTTCACAACCTTCTCAGTTACAAACATACAATTTATGTTCTGAGTTGTGCTTTCTGCAATTGTAGCATTTAATAGATAACCTTAAAATAAAAGCAAAGTTAATTATGTAAAAAACAACAACATATTTTTAAGAATGAAAAGTATTAGCATAACTAAAATGGACTTAAAAGGTTCTTACAGGTTCTTATAAATAGTCTGAGCATTATAAAGGTTTTTATAGCATTACTTTGTTATTCCTTAAAGTAGTAATAAAATCAAAGGTTTTCATCAGTTAGTCAGGTATAAATCATGTTAAAAAGTTGTTAAATTTTATCAGCAATAAGCTGATTTTAATTTTTAAAAACAATTTTATAAGTCTTTTTGTCCTGAAAAAATTGCAAAACTTTTTATTTTTATCTTTTTTATTTTTGGACCACTTGTTTTATAAGTAACTTATACATTGTTTTATAGGTAATACTACTTATACATTGATAAAAACTTGTTTTTTTTTTTTAAAATGTTTTGTGATTGATATTGTTGATTTGTTTTTTTACTTTTTTTTTTTTTACTTTTTACTGTTTATAACTTTCTAAAATATTTCTAACTAGTTCTAATTAAGTTTAAAAATTAATTATTTCTAACTTTAATTTATTTTATCAACTTTTAGAGTTAATAAAATACAGATTTTTTTGTTTGTTAAAATGGTTAATTTGCGGGGGGTTTTTTTTTCAATTTTCTCTTTAAACTTTGTATAATTTTGAACTAAAAATTTGTTAAAAACAATAACTTTATTAATGTTTTCTTTCTACCTCCAGTGTGACCACAGACTACTTTATTACTATTAATGCTCCTTATTAAGCTTTATACCTAATAACTAAATAATATGATTAAGTTGTTGGGTATAAAGCTTAATTAATTTGTTAAGATAACTGCTTAATCTTTCGACACCTTTAAATTGTTGTATTCTCAAATGATATCATAATAACAAATACCAGTTTATCATAATATTTTATGATAAACTGGTACATATTTAAAAAAGAATAACATACCACCATTACTTTTCTTTGGTTTCAATAACATACAATATATATTTTTGAATCAACTATCTGTTCACAGTTACATCTATCTACCACTTATATAATACAACTATTTACATTATATTTATGGTTGAATTTAACAAAAGATTTAAATAAAGTTGTTATATGGATTTTAAAAAAGCTGTTCTTTTAGTTTCTTTGTTAGCAAAGCACAGCTTGAGAAATTGGTGGGGATATGTATTATTAGTAGGGGTATGTATTATTAGTAGGGGTATGTATTATTAAGGCAGTGAGACTTTTGAAAAAAGCATATACTACATGTTATGATAGCATATTCTACATGCCATGATTATTTATAAAATTTTATAAACTCACTACACTGTCATGAATTCAAGCTGAATTTAAATTACATATATCAACTACTATATAAACAATTTAACTTGTCATATATCAAATACAATAAAAGCAATTTAACTTGTCATATATCAACTATTATATAAGGAGAAAAAAGAGGTCTAAAAACTTATTATTAAGTTTTTTTAGTTGTTATTTTAATAAATAATTCTTCAGAGAAGTTTCTTTTAGCACCTTGATTAAAAATTATTTAATATTAACACCAGCAAATTTTGTGGTCCTAACCACCTTCAAAAAAGGAGGTCTAAAAACTTATTATTATTCCCTTACATAATCAGTAATAACAGAATTAAAAATAAAAAATAAAATATACACACAAATATAATTTATATTATGTATAATATTAAATTATTTGTTTCTGTTAATAAGTAAGAACAAAATTTATTTTTTAATTACAAATAATAATAGTTAAAGAATTTTTTTTTAGAACATTTTCCAAAAACAAATTAGTGGGTTATAGTAAATTTTTTTTATGACAACATGGTTACAAGATTTTAAACATTTTATATATCTTACTATAGTTTTTTTAGCCCAAAATGAAGCTAATAAAAGCTCAGGTAAGTTCTCTTTTATATTCTGAAGGTTAATATATTATTGGATTTTAAAACTGTTGAAACTATTTTATTAGATTTTAATGAGTTTTAACCTAATAAATAATTGATAGGAATATTTTTTAAGTTTGCCTATAAAAACTTTTTTGCTATAAATACAGCTAATGAATACCTGAATGGAAACATAAATAAAGCTAATAAATTTTTTTTTTAATACAAAATGAATTAAATAAATGTTTGGTGTAATTAAATAAAAAAACCAACTACGACTACAACTACAAAAACCTAATAAAATCAACTTGTTACATCAAATTGTTACATCAAGTTGTTACATCAAAATATTACATCAGGTTGTTACATCAAGTTGTTACATCAAGTTCTTACATCAAACAGTTACATCAAGTTGTTACATCAAACTGTTACATCAAGTCGTTATATAAAGTTGTTACATCAAGTTGTTACATTAAGTTGTTAAATCAAGTTGTTACATCAATTTGTTACATCAAGTTGTTACATCAAGTTGTTTCATTTTGTTATAATTAAAGTCATGAAAACATAAAAAAAAAACTAAAAATAAATTTTTCAAGAAAGAAATACTGAAAATTGTTTTGAATTTAAAATAAATAAAAAAAATCAATTTTGATAAATTTCACAGGAACCACAGGAAATTAAAACAAACAACTCATCCTAATGATGTATTTGTAAATGCATGCAGCTGAAGTAATAAAATAAAATTGGAATTTGTATTTATTATGCATGCATTAACAAATACATTTGTTTTTTATTATTTTAAAATTTCAAAATAAAATAAAAAAGTTATATGCAACAATTATTACTATTTTTGCATATTTTTTTAAAAGCAAATATGATAGAATACTTTAAAGCAAAAACTAATTTGTTTAGTTAAAAATTAAGTTATTCTAAACTTGTCAAAAAATATATAAAAATTTCTTTAATCTAAAAATAAAATAGATTTACTCACTTGAGTAATGACATATTGATATTGGTAATTCCACATTATTCCACATGAGAAGCTAAAAATTAAATATAACATAATATAAAGTATATGTATAAATATCGCAACAACTAATTTATATTAAAAAATGATTTATATAGTGTTTCTTTGCAACACCAATAAATTATATTTAAAATTTTTAAGTGCACTGAACTGCAACTATTTTTTTGGTTTAGTGGTTTCTGTTAAAAACTTTGAAACTTTGCATTGGATCATCTCATTTCAACATATTTGTTGTATAGGCTGGTTTGGCGCTGAGTCATCCATATATAAATATCACAAAATATGTTAACTATAAGTTATATATAAAAATATCACAACATATTTAAACTATAATTTGTACTTGTAATTAATATTATGTGTTTGATGAAATAAAGACTGTAAAAGGTATATCTAATGAATATTATGCTATAACATAACATTTAACAGATTTAATAACTTGGACCTAAAAATATAGTGAAATATGTAAAGCTTATATACTTTTTTTTTTTAATTTCAATAGTTAAAAATGAAAATATCATCCAAATAATTACAAGTACAAATTATAGTTTAGATATGTTGTGATATTTTTATATATAACTGATAGTTAACATATTTTGTGATATTTATATATGGATGACTCATTTTCATGATATTTTCAAACTTATATCAGATTCATTACAAGGTTTTTGCGGATGGCGGATGTGTAACGAATAATAAAAAAGAAAAGAAAAAAAAAGAAAAGAAAAGAAAAAAGAAAAAAAGAAAAAAGCAGTAAATTATTTGAATAAAAAAAGAGAATTTATAAATTTTATTGAAGATTAAGGTATTTGATATTAATGCCAATAATATAAATTTAAAAAAGTGATAAGAATTTGAGCGACAAAATACCTACTATAAAGAAACAAAAAGTGTTAAAGAAATTCGAATTTTTAAAAAGAACTTTTTTTGTTATTAACTTTTAAAATCATTTGAAAGAAAAAATCACGTCTGAAAGAAAGTCTGTAAGAAGTTTAAAAGATAGAAGATAGAAAAAAGATAGAAGTTTAAAGTTGGAAAGAAGTTTAAAAAGCATTATTTTTTGCGCAAATATTTGAAATTGTATTGTATTTACTTTAACTTTTTTTTCGTTTTTTTCTTTTTTAGCTAATTTTTTCCTTTTATATTTTTTACTTATACATATTATAAATTATTTTATTATTAGTTTTATTATCGTACTTTTTATTATTGAGCGTTGATTATAATTACAGTATTCATATTTTTATTTTTATTACATATTGCTACTGCTGCTATTTGTATTACTGTCACTATTGTTATTATTGTCATGATTATTATTATTCTTTTATTCATTATTTTATTATTAGTATTTATTAGTATTCGTATTGCCAATATTATTATGTTAATTATCATCATTTTTATATTTTAGTATATTCTCTACTGCTATTTTATTGTTGTTTAAGTTACTAATAATCTTATTTATATCTGTAGCTTACTTTATAAACTAATTTCTACTATAATGTCTCAACTTTGTATTAAACATATTCATGCTAATCATCTTTCGTTTCAATGTAAACACTGTTTAAATTCATTCCATAATAAATGTTCTTTAGATAAAATTGATTTTAGATCATCAATAAACTCTTCCATCAATTTTTGGCTTTGTATAACATGCCACATTAGTATCTTTCCTTTTTGTTCTATATCGGATAATGAGCTTTGCCTTCAATCGTCAATTGATAGTATACTACATCTCAATAAACTCCCAAATGACCTTTCACTCTTTTCTACCTCTCTAGAATCTAATATTTTCAATCAACTTAATAACTTTTTCTCTTATCAACTAAACAATAACGAAAATGATGATATGAACGTAGTTGACAATCCAATTAATTGTAAATATATAGATATTAAAAATGTTTACTTTTCAAAAATCACAAATAATTGTTTTTCTCTTCTTTATTCGAACATTGCTTCATTAGTTAAACATTTTGATGAATTAAATTCACTTCTTCATCTAATTAGTTATGAATTCAGCGTTATCGGAATAACAGAATCCAAGCTGAAATATGATTTACTACCGACAGTTACTATAAATCTTAATGGATATGTTTATGAACATACTCCAACTGAAACATCATTTGGAGGAGCTTTAATTCATATTTCTGAAAAACTAATTTATAAACCTAGAAATGATTTACTTTTGTATCAACCCCAATTCCTTGAGTAAGTGTTTGTTGAAATCATCTACCCTAAAAAGTCTAATTTCCTACTAGGATGTACCTATTGCCATCCTAATATGGACATTGATGAATTTAATTTTTCATATCTAGCTGTTTTATTTGAAAAACTTTCCCTTGAGAAGAATAAAACCATCTTTTTAATAGGTGACTTTAATATAGATCTTATTAAAGCAACTCAGATAGTTCCATTGCGGCGTATTTAAACACGATTGCCTCTAACAACTTTCTTCCTTTTATATCCCTACCAACAAGAATTACAAATCACTCAAGAACTTTAATTGATAATATATTTTCTAACTCAAGATATTTTCAAGATATTTAACCTCAATAAAAAAACGTAATATGATATTTAAAAAATTTCTCAAAACAAAAAATCTAATTATTAAACTAAATCTTGAAAAAACTTACAAAACCTATAGAAATTTATTTGTAACACTTATTCAACTCAGCAAAAAAAAACATTTTTCTAATTATTTTTCTTCTAACAGCAATAATTTGAGGGCTACGAGGAAGGGCATTAGAAAGCTTTTCACTATATGTTCGGAAGATATCTCATACCCATCTTGTATATCTTCAAATAACATCATTATACATGATCCAAACAAAATATCGGAAAAATTCAACTCGTTCTTCATTTCAATACCTGACGAATTGCAAAAATACATTCACTCATCCCATACTAACTTCTATAATTATTTAAAAACACCAAACCTTGAATCTATACTCATTAAACCTACTGATGAAAATGAAATTTTATTCATTATTCTTTCTCTAAATGATGGCAAGGCTTCTGGTCCATACAGCATTCCAACCTTTATTTTTAAATTTCTTGCTTGGGATATTTCTCCATTACTTTCTAAACTATTTAACCTCTTATTCGTTACAGGTATATTTCCTAACATTTTCAAAATAGCATCTGTTAAACCAATTCATAAAAAGGGCTCAAAACTTGACTGTAATAACTACAGACCAATATCATTATTATCTAATATCAGCAAAATTCTTGGAAAATTAATGTATTCTCGTATCTACCACTTTCTTGATAATTCTAAGTGCCTATATGGACGCCAGTTTGGTTTTCGTTTAAAACACTCTACTTCCCATACTCTTATTAGCATTACTAAAATGATTCGTGGTGCAATCTATAGTGGTTCATTTACTTGTGGCGTCTTTATTGATTTCCAAAAAGCTTTTGACACGATCAACCACAAGATTTTAATTAAAAAGTTATACTACTATGGCATACGGGGTATCGCTAATAATTGGTTTTCATCATATATTGAAAATCGTAGCCAGTTTGTCTCCATTAATGGGTTTGAATCCTCCAAAAAATTTATCAAATATGGTGTCCCCCAAGGTTCTGTTCTTGGACCTTTGCTGTTTATAATATATATAAACGACTTGTCTCACTCTATAAGCAAATCCACTGTTCACCATTTTGCTGATGATACCAATCTTCTATGCATAAATAAATCACTTACTTAGCTTTGTAAAAAAAGTTAAATCATTTGTGTCTTTGGTTAAATAGTAATCGTATCTCTCTAAATATTAACAAAACTGAGTTCATTATTTTTCACCCTCCAAAAAAAATAATTAGTAATGATAATGTTAAAACTAAAATTAACAGTAAAAGAATCTTTCCTTCTGAATTTATAAAATATCTCGAAGTATTTCTTGACAAAAACCTATCTTGGAATTATCAAATGATTCAATTAAATAAAAAACTCTCTCAAGCCAATAGTATGTTATCTTTAATACAACACTATGTTCCTAAACATACTCTAGTATCAATTTACTATTCCATGTTCTCATCCCATCTAAGCTATTATTGCCTTGTTTGGGGGCAACAAGGAAGTTTTCTATTAAATCGTATAAACAGTTTGCAACGTGCTTCCATAAGAATCATGAAATTTTCTTCTATTCAATCTAATATCCAAAAAAGGTTTTCTGAATTAAAAATCTTACAATTTCAAAATCTTATAAAGCTTTACAACTGTCTTTTTGTGTTTGATTTCCTCCAAAATAATCTGCCGGGTTCGTTTAACAATTTTTTCATTAAAGCAAGTGATACACATAAATACTATACTCGTATATAAATGGTAATTTGCACCCTTCTTTTTTCAATACTGTCAAGTATGGCAAGCTCTCCATAAAACATCAATGTATTTCTCACTGGAACCAATTAATACCTTTTATAAAAAAAAAGACTAAATACCCTTTTGTTACTAAATTTCTTCTTCTTAATAGAAACTTAATTAAGAAATTTTTATGTGAGCAAATATCTAAAGAATATTAATGATTAATAAATATTAATCTTTAATTTTATTCCTTCAATATATTATTTAATTAATTACACTTATTTTGATTATTTTTATTTTTTTTATTGTTATTAATATTCTTTACATTGTTACTACTACTATTTTTATTATTGTTATTACAATATTATTTATATATCTTTGTTTTTGTTGCCTTAATATTATTACCTATAATGATAGTCAAAGTAGTTCAGTAGTTGCAGTAGCTTTATCATTATTGTTATAACTATTCTTTAAATTGTTTATTTTATAATTACTAACTATACTATAATTATCTTAGTATTGCTTTATCATTTATAATTCTTTTTACGTTGTTATATTGCAGTTATTGTTTTTTATATTATTTTTATTCATATTATTGTTACTATTATTATTTTTATAAATATTATTACTTTCAACTTTCTTTTCCTCTTTTTTTTCTTTTTTTAAATCTTTATTGTTATTGTTGCTTATCTTTCCTTCCTTTTTTCTTTTTTTTTTTTTTT